GGCGGGGGCGGTCAGCTGTTGTACTGGCACGCATTGAGGCCCGAGGCCGGGCCCTGCAGCCCGCCGTAGCCGAACGACGAGTGCTGCTTGGACTTGAGCCGCAGGCTGGCTAGGCTCGAGTTGCACGTGTCCCGGTAGACGCTGTAGGGCGAGGCGGGCGTGCCGTACGGGCAGGCGCCCGGTGACATGGCCGAGTTAAGCGAGGAGCCGGTGAGGTTGTTGATGTTGTTGAGGCCCGAGTTGGGCATGCCGGGCACGGCGCCCGGGCCCATGCTCGACGGCATGGTCATGGAGGAGATGGAGCTGGGCGCCGAGAACATGGACTGCGACGACAGCGGGCTCATGGAGTTGAAGAAAGTGAAGCTCTTGGTGGAGAGCGGCGCTGGCGCCAGGCTCTTGGCGGCCCAGTTGTTGTAGGAGTAGCCGGCGGCGTACACGTCCTCGTAGGGCTGCACCAGGCCGCTGAACTGCGGCACGTAGCCGCCCTTACACAGGTCCAGCTGCTGGTTACGCTCGCGCTTCCGCCACTTGGCTCGCCGGTTCTTGAACCAGACCTGGGGGAGGGGGCAAGAGAAGGGTCAGGGCTGCCGAGCGCGGGAAGTCCCCTCCACCTCCACTCCCTCCACCGCTCCCCCACCCAGCCCTCCGCCGGGTTCCTTCTCTCCGAATTTCGTCCCTTTTCTCCGATATCTCCGCCCCTGCAGCCTCTCCTTAATGGTTCCTTTCCTGTCCCCAGAAAACATTCCTCTTTCCCCTTTTCTGATCTAGATCCTCTCCCCCCGAGTTAAATCTATTTTCTCTTCCTAATCCGGAGCGATCCTCTTTTGTTTTAGCAAATATTCGTTTGCTTTCTTCCTCTCTCAACCAGTCCATCTCCGGCCTTCTCCTCCAAACGGGTCCCGGTCTGTCTCCTAAATATTCCATTCTTTTTCTTCTCCCTCGAATACAAAAGGTATTTCTCTTCCCGGAAATATAAGATCTCCCGACTCCCTTCATTTCTTCATTCTATTTTTCACTCCTCAAATAATCTGTTTCCATCTTTAGCGGGAATGTTTGATATGCCCATTTCTCCTCCAAACGTTTATTTTCATTTGGTCCACCCCGCTATCTGAACTATCCCCCCCCAGTCCCTTTTCTCTGTTATCCCTCATTTTTGATCCTTTTGATTCTTCCTCAAATATTTAAGTTTCTTCCCCGTCTTTCCAAATATCTGACCATTACTGTTTCTTAAATAGTCAATTCTTTATTTTCCTCAAATGTTTGATCCTTTTGCCCTCCCTTAAATGTTTCTCTCCTGCTGCCTAAATATGTTTCTCTGCAAATATTTAATTTCCGTTCACTTCTCACTAGTTTCTCTCTAATCTCCCCTCCACTTTCTCCCACAATTTAGTAAGAACCTCTTCTTTCCCAACTCTTGGTCCTTGCCCATCCTCACCTATCCTCCCACTGTATGACCTCTACCCTCCTCAGCCCTCCTCCAACCCTGGGCTGAGTTTCCTGAGCTAGGCTGTGGGTCCCCTGCATCTCAGCCTTTTCCAGTCCCCCACACTGACATTGCCTGATTCCACCCCCACACCACTCCTGCCACCATAAACCCAGGCAGGATTAGTGAGTTCAGGATTACTGAGTGCTGTCTTCACTCGAGTCCCACCGGGCTGGCTAGCCTGACGGGAGGGGTGAGAGCTTGGGTTATAGGAGGGAGTCAGTAGGCCAGGTAGCACTCTGGGCTGGCTTGGGACTTGCTCACAATATCTGATTAAATATTTGCACGCCCACAGAAGAAATGATTCTCTTGCTGCTCTGGCAAGAGAACATCAAATCTCTTGCTTTTACTGGGAACCAAAGGGTGAGGAGAGGGAGTGTGCAGACATCATGTGGTCATGGCTCAGAGATCTTACATCTCCAAAGGGACCCAGCCTGAGGGTCACTCTGGCACCAGAGCTGCTCCTCCTTCACCTGACCCCAGCCCTACAGGAAAGGGCATGAGGGAAAGGGTCGAGCTCAGCACTGGCTGAATGACTGGAGAGGAGTCAGGTGGGGACTATACTGAGATTCAGGAGAAGCAGGCTGTGGTTGGGATCACCGCCCCAGGAAGTGTTGAGACCCCCAAGCATAGGTACCCTTCAGGCCTCTCCCAGGTTGCCAGGCAAGATCTGCCTTTCCCTTTCGTTTTCAGGGGAAGGCGCCAGCAGCTCCGGAGGTCCTCATCAGCGGGGAACCCTCTGCGCAGTGTAGGGTAGTAACATCCCAGAGGGCCCTGGGCCCTGGGCCCTGCAGGGCAGGGGAATGTCCCTTGGGGCCACGGATCTTGGGGTGAGGCTGCAGGAGAGCCCGAGCGTCAGGTAGGACTCGAGGCGGGCAGCAGCCAGGGTCACTAATCACCAACGGGCTTAGCAGCGGCGGGGCCTAAAGTGGAATCCTCTCCGGTGGAGGGAGGGAGCAGGTCTGAGTGGTGCCAAAGAGACAAAGTCTGAGCGCGGGTTTAAAGCTTTTCGAGGACTTAGGACCGCGGCAGAGGTAGCCAGCAGCCCTTCTCGCGGGTCCCCTCAGACGCGCACCCTGCGCTCACCCTCACGCGAGGCTCGGTGAGGTTGGTCCACACAGCGATCTCCTCCCGCATGCTCATGTCGGGGTAGCGGTTCCTCTGGAACGTGGCCTCCAGCTCTTGCAACTGCTGGCTTGTGAAGTGCGTGCGCTGCCGCCGCTGCTTCTTTTTCTTGGCCGGGTCTTCCGCACCACCGCAGCCTGCGCCTCCTGCACCGCTGTCCTCCGGCCCCTTGACTTCCCCGCTGCGCTCCTTCTCTGAATCGGGCAGGACAGGCCCCGGTCACCTTGGGCTTCTGCCCTTTTGCACCCCGTCCCGGCTCCACCGAAGCGCCTGCCATCAGCGCTGGCGGCCCTCCCTCCCGCCAGGGGCCCTAGGATTGTCCCTATTGGAAAGAGCCTGCTGGGCGCCTGATCGTCGGTAGTCACCTTTGCTCAGCCGTGCCCCAGAGAAGAGCCCGGGAATGAGAGGCACAGGCCTAGGTTCCTGCCGGGCTGGGCCTGCTCTTGCGGCTGGGCTCAGGCTCAAGCCTTACTGCTTATGTCACCCGCAAATGTATGACAATTTGAGGGCTCTTGGGCGTCTAAATCTGGGGGTCTCTGCTTTCCTGAACTAGGATCACATCTTTCTAGCCCAAAGCTAGTGGGTCCATGGAGCACGAAACAGGCTGTGGCCTGCAGCCCCTGCACTTTCTTCTCCCCAGGGCTGTGTGGGAGCCACACTGGGCAGGCACAACACAGCTGTGTTCTCGGCCTTAGCTCCAGGCCTCAAGTCCCAAGGCCCAGAAAATCCCTCAGGCAGCAGCCCAGACCGACAGACTCTGTCTAGGTGACCTGGGGCTCTAGCCTCTCTCTCTTTCAAGCTACACAAAATACATTCAATCATAGACACATTGAAAACAAACAAACAACAAAAAAATGAAAACAAAACACAGAAGCCCAGATAAACTCAATTCTGTGCCTAACACCATAGAAAGGGTCACAAACTCTTAAAAATAGGCAGATAGGGACACAGGGCAAATGCAAATTAAGAAGCCAAATACCTCCGTGCAAACACACCCTCAACTAAATACAGTGCTGCATGTGTATAAACTCCAGGCAGACACAGGCATTTATTTCTTTGAGATTAAAAAAAAAACCACCACCACCAACTTACTGTACTGTTGTAGATAGATTTTTTAAACCCTTCCCAATAATCCCCTTCTAGAGATAATTTTTAAATCCCAGGAAAATACAACACTATAGTTAGGTAACTGAAATTACCAAAATAACACCACTGCAAATGGATTTTGAAAAAATCCTGTAGAAACGCGCCATTTTGGATTGACTTTTAAAAATCTCCCCAAGAATAATGTTGCACGTAGCTATTTTAAATTCCAGAGAAATATGCCTAGTGATTCTTTCTATAATGAAAAATACAGTTAAAATGTTAAATATATCCACAAAGATTTGGTTTTAAAAAGCAATCTATAACTTTATATTTCTCTGGATCTTAAAAGTAAAAACCAACCAAAGGCCACGCTTAAAACTTTTGAAAACAAAAGTACAATCCAGCGTTGATTGTTTTTAAGTCAAGCAAACAGAACCTCTCAGAGAAAGTCACTTAGGGATGCAAAACAGAAATAAATAGAGATTAAAAACGTGTAGAGAAACACTCAGCGGTGGATTAAGAAACGAACACAGCAGAGGCGCCCACGGCCCGGGAAGCAGAGAGCTCTGCGGCAGCGCCGAGTTAGGACGCCGAGCCCGGGAGCCAAAAGGAGACCCTGGAGGCCGGGACCGGCCGAGGATTAGTCGCGCCACTGCCCGCACCGCCCACCCGCCGGCCCAGCCTGCGGCCAGCCCGGGGGGGTAAAAAGCTTGAGCTCGGACAAAAAGGCAGCGCGGAGGGAGACTTGCCCGAGCCGAGTCGGGGCCCTGGCTGGGCGGCCTGGCGGCTGCCGCGTCCCGCGGCCCACGTGGGGCCCGTCTCCCTCGATTAGGGGGTCCTACTCCGAGCCGGGCCGAGCCCCTCGGCCCGCTCGCCCTCGCTGTCCTGTGTCTTCTACTTGAAGTTGTCCTCCCCCCGCCTCCCAGTGTGTTTTTCTGACTTTTCCCGCCACCCCTTCTCTTCGATTTCTCCCTCTCGATCGTCGCCCACTGCCTGTCGGGGTGTCTGTCCCATCTCTGTCTCTCTGGGCACTTTCTGTCGCCCGCCGCCCCATTCCAGTCTCGAGGGACTCCTCTCCTGCGGTCTGAGAGGCCCTTGGGCACCAGTTGCGCAAACCGAATTTTTTCCCCGTTCTGTTTGCTGCGGATTCAGAGGGGCTGTCAGTCCGACCTTCCCTCCCGTTGTAGGTTCGAGCATCTGCCGGTCTCTTGGCGCGTGGGGACCGGGTGGAAGTAAAGCACTGAATTTCGATTTATAAAGCGTGTAAATTTCCGAGTACACCCCCCCCCCCACCCCGATCGAGAACGGGAAAAGAAATGGTCGTGACGCCCCTGGAGCGTAGAGGGAGACTGACGGCGCGGCGCGGGGGCCAGGCCCTGCTCCCCGCTCCGTGCGCCCGACTCGGCTCCGTGCGCGCCTCGCGGGGAGCAGCGCTTACCTGGCAGCTCCGTGTCGGACGACTCGCTGGCAGAGTTCTCGAGCGGCTCGCGGGGGTCGGCGGCGCGCGCCAGGTGGAAGGCAGGCCCCATGTCGTGCGGCGGCGGCGGCGGCCGGAGTCCCTCCGGCAGCCGCTCCAGGCTCATGCCCCCCTTGAAGGCGTCCATGGAGGCGGGGACCGCGGCGGGCGCTCCAGGGGCCGGGGCCGGGGCTGGACGCGCCCGGCCGCCCTGGCTGCGACCTGCGGGGACAAGAGCACAGCGCCTAAGCGGCTGCCCCCCAGGGCTGCACACGCCCGCAACGACGCCGCGCCCGCCCCATGGACTGCCCGGGGCTGCGGGGCCAGGCGGGCGGCAGCGGCAGCGGTTTCTCGCGACCGGATACCCGGCTTCGCGCTCCGCGCTGCGCTCCCGCCGCTCGGGCCTCAGCCGCCCGCCCGGCCCCGGCTCCGGCTCCCGATCCGGGGCCGGTTTCTAAGGCTCCGGACGGCGCCGGCAGAGGCTGTCTTAAAGCGACAGTGCGCACCGCCAGGTTCCAGCAGTCCCTGCGCCAGGGGTGGTGGGTGGGGTGGGCCTGGGTGGGAGGGGGCTGGGGAGGGAGGGAGCCAGCGAGCGAGGGAGCGCGGGCGGAATCCAGCCCCGAGCCGCCCGCCCTCCCTCGCCCGTGCCCTCCCCCTCCGCAGCCACCTTCCCGCCGCCTCCCCGCCCCCTCCCCCCCGCGGCCTCGCCGCGCCGCTCCCTCCTTCTCCGTTGACGCACCGACTTCTCCCTCGGCCGCACAAAAGAAACGCATCTGGCCTCCAAGTCCCGCGCGGCTCGTGCCCACCTCAAGCCCCAAATGACTTGTTTTGTTCAGAATCGACTCCTGTCTGGGCCGCCTCGAAGTCCCCAGCCCCTGGCAAGAACAGCCCAGGATGAGAGAATGTTCTCGGAGCAGGATCGCACCGAGCGGGCGCCTCCGAGCCAGCGCCAGGGCGGGGGCAGAGCCCGGGGCCCGTTCCGGCAGCTCCCAGAGGCGTCCTCGTCTAGGGGCCGCCGGCCCCTCCTTCCTCGGCCTCTTCTCCCGGGACCTGAGCCCGGCTGAGTGACAGCAGCCTGCGTTCTAATGGGCCCCCGGATGCTGCCTCCTAATTAGCTTGGACCCTGTCCTCCAAGGCTGCTTCTCAGGCCTCCCCCTCTGCACCGCAGTCAATTTTCCGGGATTGGGATAGAACTGATGGCTTCTAATCAGACGAAACGTTTCTGTTGGCTCCAGGCCTCTGGCGAGTGCAGCAGGAGACCCCAAGAGCCCCGCCAGGCCCCACAGCCTCTCCTGTGGGGCTCTCTCCCCTTGTTTTGCACCAGTCCGGCCAAATCAGCCAGGCCCAAGCCTTGGCAGCCAGGGGGTTGGCTTCTGCCCCCTTCAGGGCAGGTTTGCAGCGATCTGCGGCCTCTGCATTGGCTTCCCAGAGCTGCAGACACCTGGCCCAGGCCAGGTGCCTGCCGTTTCCCAACCCTGGGCCAGCAGTCCCGGAAGCCTTCCGCCTTCAAGCCTCTCCCTGGTACGGTGGTAGCTAAGCTGCAGCGCCACTGGGGCCTCCATGGGTGCAGGCAAAGAAGTTCCCCTCCTACCCTTCAGAATGATCCCCTCCTACTTCAGTGAAGTTTGTTGAAGGATTTTGCTCAGCGATTGTTAGCCGGCTCTGAGACTGCAGAGTCTTGAGCAAATAGAAGGCAGATGGGGTGGTAGGGTGCGACCCTGACCTGTTCCTCTGGCCAGAGCTGGACCCCATGCTGCCCTCTGCTCCTCACCTGCGGACCAACTCCCAGATGGGAGCAGCGCTGGGCAGGACGGCAACCTGGGGGAGAAGCACTGCCCTACACTCCAGACCCAGCACCTCACCCCAGGGCCTGGTGCACTCCCCATCTCTCCTGGGAGTCTCTGCTTGGGACGGTGCAGGCTGAGGATCTGGGATGTTCTGCAGGCACTGCCTTCCATCCCTCACCCTGGCTCCTCATCAGGAGACCCACAGCCTCAGGCTGAGTTCTTTGGTGAGGACTGCAGGGATGCGGTGGGTACAGGGTGGAAACAGGCCTGCCTCTCACTCCCTGAGTGTCAGCCCCAGGCCCCCAGCTCTGGGAGCTGGGAGAAAGCACAGCTCCTTGGGATCTGGCACAGCCTCACTGGGTGCCTGTGACTATAGGAGCAGGGGCTGGAGCTGAGGCCCGAGGGAGGATGTATCCCACGGGTTTGAGTTGGGGAGGCTCAGCGACTCTTGCCCTTTCCTCCCAAAGGGGAGTTTCTCGAAGTTGAGCTCCCCAGGATGAAAATAATCTTGGGTGTGTGTGGGTGGGGGGAGGGTGGCAGGAGGGGGACGTGGGAAGTATGGTTGTCCAACATTTGCCCTCAGCCTCAACTTTTACCGTATTTCTTGGCTGAGTCTCCTGCAGCAGCAGGTACCTCTTTTTGCGACCCAGCCTGCCTGGGTACAGACAGGACACTGGAGCAGGCACATACACACATGTAGTGCATACCCACCTAGGTGTGTGCTGTTCACACACATGCACACATGCTCCCTGCACATCGTGCACACACAGCCAGGCTCTGGGTCCCAGAACAATGCTCGGCACCAGATCGGGCTGGTAGGGGACAGGAGGTTTGTTCTCAGCCCGCTGATGTGGGAAGCATAGTGTTCTTCTGGGTGGGGACCTGGAATAAATGTTCTGCTTGTAGGTGTTCAGAGGCTGAGGGCCACCGCTTTTCACTATCCACGGAGTGTAGAGTCAGGATTTTCATAGATGGGGACTGTTTTGTGACTCTAGCTCTAGCTGTTCAGTCTGAGGGGCTTGGATCCCTCACTATTGCATTTAATGTAGTTATTGAGCACCTGCTGTGTGCTCCTCTGGACCCAAGCCTCCGGCAGTGTTTTGGACAGTCACATTGGTCCAATGATTTGGAAATCTTGATGCCTGCTATGTGGATGGAAAGGCCTTCAGACTATTGCGGGTGAAGCCCCAAATCCCCAGAGGCCCTGGGCCCCAGAGAGAGACTGTGACTAGTAGGGACTGCCCGGGGGAGTCTGTTCTGCTGGGCCCAGGGAATGGCTGAATGAGAGGAGACGATGAGGATGCTGGCCGGATAGGGTGTTGGCTGGAGAAGGGACCTGGGCACTTTCTTCTTCCCCAGCCTTACCCTCTACTGGCCACTATCCCCGGCAGGGAAGGGTCTTTCTTCACACTCACAGATATATCACATACACGGGACAGCAGGCAGCTCCCTTGTGGGAGTAAGAGCAGGGGTTCAATGTTCTCCCAGCTTTGCTGTGTGACCTTGAGCAAGGCTCCACCTGCACTGTGCCCCAGTTTCCATGTCTGACACGGACTGGGCAATCCCTACTTGCCGCTTCGACTTGCAGCTCACTTGACGATGGGGACGCGAGGAGAGGAGGGAAGGGGCTTACTGGGGCTGGAACCAGGTGTCCTATTCCCCATCCCTTTGGGCCATGCGGAGCTAGCAATGATTCTGTGACTTTCAGGAAATTTGGAGGCTTAGAGTCCTGGCTGGGTTGAGTGGAGGCGTCTGGCCTGTTGTAGGGTTTGAAGTAGTCACCATAAGGACCTTTCCTAAGGCCGGGCTCACTCAAAACAGATTCTGTGCCCAAGAACGGGTTAGCAGTTTTATTTGGGAAGAGTGGTTGGAGGGTCCTCATGGGGGGCATCCTTCCACGCACTTATATGGGGGTACGCTGCCCTAATCTCTGCACCAGAATCAAGGGATTTTAGGAAAAGGGAAGGAATGTGCCGTGGCTTGCCCTCGAGGCCATCCATGACTCTCTGGGACATTCCAACCCTAAGCCTCTTAGGCCGTGGAGAAGTTCAAACTAGAAAACCCAGTTTTGGAAGTGCATCTGGGACCACCTACCTCCTTCTGTCTGTTTTATTCCCCCCCCCCCCATAAAAGCTCTTGCTTCTTTGAATATAAGCAATTACTGGGTGAGGGGGGAAAGGGGTGCTCAGGTAGGGGCTGGGAACCATCTCACCAGAGTCTTTAGGCTTCCAAGGACCCCAGCCTCAGCCTTCCTGTTATTTGGGGTTCCCCAGCCTGTCCTGGTGGGAGACCTGGGATGTACTCAGGCGGGATGGCCGAGTGGGGTGCCTCAGGGAGCATGCAACTCGGAACTTTGTCAGCAGCTGGCAGGGCTGGCCTCATGGCTCACCCGAGTCCGCTCACTGGTCGTTCTCTGCTTCCTGAGAATAGCTGAGCGGAGGAGAAGAGAAGGCTGGGCAAGTGGCAGAGACTGGTCGCATAACTGGGGGAGCCTAGGGTCAGCTTATGCTGTTACCACAGCTTCCCAGGAGCGGCTTTTCCGAGAAAAGCACACTCTGAGCCTGGCTGGAAGAGCAACAAATTCTGCCTCTACCTTCTTGAGTCCTGGCAGCCAGGTCTCCATGCCTCCGTCCACGTCTTTTCCTTTTCCGAGCAGAAGAAAGGGGAGGGAGCCAGCAAGCCCCCTCCCGTGTTGCCCCTGCTGCTCTAGACCCGTGTCTTTGGCCAAGTGGACAGCAACCTGGCCTTGCTCTAGCCCCGATCGCTGTCAGAGGCCCCTGGGGTGCCAACGGGACACCCAAGCCTTAGTTTCTCAGTAAAGTGGTCTCAAATATTTTTAGATTCAGGGAATTCCTAAATCGGGAAACCTTGGAACCAGGATTCCAGCCTCGGGTTCCCTTTTCTGCGATCCCGGCCTCGGGGCCATCGCTTTACTACCGCCGAAACGGCTCAGATTTGGGAGGCTGGTCAATTTCAGAATTCCGAGACCCGGTTCTAGAGAAGCGGCTGTGTGCCCGGGAAGCCTGCGTCAACAATCAAACCCCGGAGAAGCCGCGGGAATGTCTTTATTGGATTTTGCGAAGAGCATTTGGGGTTCCTCTCTGGGTAAGGAAAAGCCCGACCCGTGCGGGCGAGGGCAGGCCGCCGTGGGCTGGGGGCGCCTCCGAGCACGGGCGGCGAGACGTCGGGGTCCTCGGCGAAGAGAGCCGGGGCTCCGGCCGATGTCTTTTGCTTTTCTGCGGCATAGCTGCCCGAAGGAACCAACGAACGAACGAATGAAGCGGTATTGTTTAGAAAAAATACCCTCTTGACACGAAGCTGCGGCTGCAGTCCCCGGGCGTGCAGAGGGGCCCGCGCTTTCGCTCGTTCTGGGGCCCCCATTCCGGGGCGCAGCCGGGACGGCGGGCGGCCCTTTCGGCTGCCCAGTGTCCTGGAGTTCCCCAGCGACCTGCGCCGCCACGAGAGGTTGCGAAGGGCGTGGAGAGCTATGCCCTTCGCAGGGCTGGGACTCGCGTCCCCGGGGCTGCTGCCCTCTTGGGGTGCCCGGGGCCGAAGCGTGGGGTGGGCTCACCGGGTAGGCAAGGTAGCGCCTGGCGACGGCAGCTGGGACTGCGCGCCGGGCGCAGGAACGAGCTCCTCGTGCTGCCTCGATGGCGCCTGGCCTTTCCCGGGATGCGCTCAGTTGCGCGCCACCGGCTGGACCTCA